ATGCTAACTGAAAACTAGTGAAAATGCCTGAGCCCACCCAAGTTAATTTCAGATAGTACGGAATAGAAGCTGGGCAAATTCTTTGTACAACAGTCCTGTGTGGAGCACAGACTGGAGCTTATAGGAAAGCCACCAGGATTCTGGACCCAAAAATTTCAATTTGAGGGACAATTAGTTTACTATTGGGCACTAACTGACACTGCTTCCCTGAATCTGAAAACCTGAAATGTATATACTGCCCCAGGAAATGTTGGAGAAACATTCTCATGGGAAAGCAGTACCCAAAAGAGTTCCATAATTAAATTGGAATGCTCTGTGCAGGAAAATGCTACCAAAGAAATACATCATATTCACAAACATGGAGACCCTACTATATAACAGCACATAGGGAAACTGAGACAAGGTAAGTAGCTTTGTTCTTAAATGACTTGGAATTCAGAAATAAGCCAGTAAGGGTCCACTGTAACTACACCTATCCATGAAAATATCCAGTATCTAGGTAAGGGTCAATTCTGTTGAGGAGGCATAGCAAATTCCTCTGCAATTCTTACTGATTTGTTCTGTAATAAAACAGCATCACACTGTGACATAACACACTATGGAGTAACAAGTGACAATGTTGGTAAGATTCATTTACCTTATGTAAATAAATCTTTTTTTTTTTTTTTTTTTTTTTGGTTTTTAGTTTTGAGACAGAGTCTTGCTCAGCTGCCCAGGCTGGAGTGCAATGACGTGATCTCAGCTCACTGCAACCTCCACCTCCCAGGTTCAAGCGATTTTCTTGCCTCAGCCTCCCAAGTAGCTGGGACTACAGTAAAGACAGGGTTTAGCCATGTTGGCCACGCTGGTCTCTAACTCCTGACCTCAGGTGATCTGCCCACCCATGCCTCCCAAAGTGCTGGGATTACAGGCATGAACCATCACTCTCAGCCCCTTATAAAAACAAATCTTATAATACTGATATTGATCATCTAATGGTATCAGGAAATTTAGTTAAAGCCTCCTCAAGATGTAATAATGATAGAAAATGAATAGCCTAACAAAGAATTAGCTAACCATCAACTAATTTCTTTCTTTCTTTCTTTCTTTCTTTCTTTCTTTCTTTCTTTCCTTCCTTCCTTTTCTTCCTTTTCTCTCTCTCTCTCTCTCTTTTCTTCTCCTCTTCTCTCTCTCTTTTTTTGTGAGATAGAGTCTCACTATGTTGCCCAGGAGTGCAACAGTGTAATCTCGGCTCACTGCAACCTCTGCCTTCCAGGTTCAAGCAATTCTCCTGCCTCAGCCTCCCAAGTAGCTGGTATTATGGATGTGCATCACCACACCTGGCTAATTTTTGTATTTTTAGTGGAGATGGGGTTTCACCATGTTGACCAGGCTGGTCTCGAACTCCTGACTTCAAGTGATCCCCCTACTTCAGCCTCCCAAAGTGCTGGGATTACAGGCGTAAGCCACCGTGCTCAGCCCATCAACTAATTTCTATGCCAATAGTCCTGCACAAATTTTTCATAAGATACAAAAATAGTTGTAAATCCGGGGGGAAATGAGTAATTAAATTAGTACAAAAAAATGATGTACATAATGGCTTTATAAATTAGACTGTTTATTTAAATGTATACCTATTCAAAACTGGCTCATCCCAATATTAGGCATATTCAAAGGGTTACTATTGCAATGTCTGTCATATAAAAACTAAATGTAGACGTTCAAATATATTCGCTTTGCTTTAAGAGTGTAGGCCAAAGGCTAGGGCATAGCCTATACACCAAAGAAGACAAAGATGTCTGGCCTTCCACCTTAGCCACTGAGAGATGATCTCCAGGACTGCTGAATGTCTTGCTTCACAGGAGTACCTGCTTGATACGAGTGTTTTTGTTCGAATGGAGGCTTTGGCCACTGAACAGTTTAACAATGTGATCTACAATGGAGGCTTTGGGTATTTCAGTATCAATTCTGATCTCCAGAGGAAGTGAGAACTAAAGTTATTAGTCTGACCTCCCAAAGGCCAAAGCTACACCATGCAGCGAGTATGTGATTTTGAGCCCCAATAAAACCGGAAAAGCAAAGACTCAGATGAGTTTCTTCACTGACAAAACTCACATATACTACGGACATAAAGAGATAATGCTGGACGTGACTGCACAGGGAGAAGAGCCTGGACTCTGTACCCTAAACATCTCTTCCCCTGGCTGATTTTAATTTGTATAGTTTCTCTGCAATAAATTGTAGGCATGAATGTAACAGCTCTCAGTGAGTTATATCAATCTTCCAGTGATTTATCAAACCTGAGGATGGTTTTGGGAATGCCTCAAACTTGAAACCAGTGACAGAAGTGAGGATGTTCTTACAGAGGTTTCTCTCAAAGTGTACACCTATCTAAACTCATTGCAGTACTATACTGAGGTTTTATTTACATACTATCTTGCTTAATCTTCACTACTCTGTGTGGTAGATACCACTATTATTAACACAGAGAGACATACAGAGTATAAATAACTTAATTTCACCCAGACATTAACAATAAATGGAAGAATCAGGATTTGAACCAAGAAATATAATACAAAGTCTATGTCCTTAACATATTATGCCACCTTCCTTGATAACTGCTAATTTCTTCCCCCAATTCTAACATTCTCTGAGTCTATAATATTTAAGGTCACATAAAGCCAAGCAAATCTACAAGTAAACAAGTAATTCAGACAGGCTTAAAACAAGCCTTAAATAATCTTCATTATATTTTATTTTGTTATGGTTTAAGCTGTCATTTTCATTATTAAATGTTAATTCTTTGTATATTGACAGATTTTTTTAATGCTGCAATATCAAAACACAAATAATATCAAAGTATATTAACAGAAACGTATTACTAAAATAACTAATTTGAAGACGACTACCTCCAAAATATAAAATACTGAATAACACCATTATATGAAATTTCCAATTTGCTAGGAAATAATACTTGTTTTTTAGGGAAAAGACAATTTTGGTCAGGCAAAATTCCGCCATTGTAAAATAATGATTTTCATTACTTTACAATATATATATTTTCCGCTGAGACAGGGTCTTGCTTTGTTGCCCAGGCTGGAGTGCAGTGACATAATCATAGCTCACCATAGCCTTGTACTCCTGGAGTCAAGCAATCCTCCCACCTCAGCCTCCTGAGTAGCTGAGACTACAAGGTTTCCGCCACTGCACTAGGCTAATTTTTTTTTTGGTAGGGATGAGGGTATCGCTATGTTGCCCTGACTGGTCTTGGAACTCCTGGACTCAAGCAATCCTCCCGCCTCAACCTCCCAAAGTGCTAGGATTATAGGCATAAGCCACTGTCCCCAGTCTATAACACTTTTTAAATACATATTTCTATAGTCAATGTAATTAATTTTTTTTAATTTCTCTACATTTTCCTACAGTATGTACAATTATCACTTTTAAAGCTGCATAATATGCCAAAATATTAATTTAACAGCATTCACAAATTGCTGAACATCAAGGTTGTTCCATTTTACCTTTCTTCTTTAATAAGACTGCAATAAACATCTTTCTTCTAATAACATAAGCCTTTAATTTTTTTAATCTGCAGCTCCCACCACAGTGTCTAATTCATATGAGGTATGCGACAAACATTAGCTAAACTGAATACACATTTTAAAAACTGTTTTTCAAGCATAGTTTCCTAAGACTAGAATTAATGAATCAAAGAGTATGAACTTCTTATGGTTCTTATAACATAATACTTTCCAAAAGAATAATGTCATTTTATAATCCACAAGACATGAGTGTGTGAACTTGTCCATTGCAATACACGCCAGTATTAGAGTTTATCGTTTAAAAAGCTTAATATTTTATTATGTATAATTTGATCTCTTAAAGTGCTTTACCTTGTAGGGAAATAATAATCCTTAAGTTACACTGTCATTACTTCCATTTCATTATTTAACAAAGTATAAAAAGACATGCAACTGTTAATTCTAATTGTGGAAATTCAATTATAAATATGTAAAAACTCTTTAAATGAACATACTCCAAAGTTTATTTCTGACTTGGAAGGTGGCATATTTTCACATTTTAGTAAAATTTGCTTGAGGCCATAATCTAAACCAACTGTGGCAATATAACTGTTGGATATAAAGGTAATCTTGTCCCAAAGAGCAGTGAATTCTACTCTCCTTTGAGGGGGTTTCTCTTGGAACGGATAGTAACTAAAAAGCACTCTCACTAAGAGAATAATTTAAAATAAACAAATTGCTAAGAGTTTACATGTTTATGATGTGATCACAATTCCCAGTTGAACCAGAATTACCTATCTATGAAGGAAAAAGCAACATTGAGAAAAAGTAGTCTGAGTTTCCTAAAACTCAATTCAGAAATTGAGGTAAATTATCAAAGATTTGAATATTTACGTCAATTGTGAGGATGTCTGTTTCTTCCCTTTACATCTTTAAAATAACACATTTCAGGTAATTTTACATTTTTCTACTTGGCGATTTCAGGAATCAAATTTGTATCTGATGAGAATGGACATTATAAGCTTTTCAGTATTTGTTTTTTATTATATATTGACATGTTTAAAATTGGTAACTCACAGTTTTACCACAATTGGGTGATTCTGTTTTCCTGTCCTTTGGTATTATCATATGTTAATAGCCAGAAAACTTGTGATAACTCCCAGTAGGGTTCTTTTGCACTAGCTGGGCTGCAGCACATTCATCACTTTAAAATAAGAATTTACTTACTTTCTGAGGTGGGTAAAGCACTGTGCTAGACTCCAAGGAACCATACATAGATGACTAAGACATGACTCCTGTCCTCAAAGAACTTACAATCTATTAAGGGAAGACAGACATGCAAACAAATAGGTAAAATACAAAGCAGAATGTGCTGATTGTTAAAACAGAGGTACAAAACAAAGTTCTACAGGAGCACAGGATGGTTATATAGGAGCACTGGTTGGGGTGATCTGGAAGGCTGGGCCAGCAGAATAGTAGTAGAAAACTCTGCCCCTTAGAAAATACAGCAGTGTTACAGCCCACCTGGGTTAGGGTCGAAGCCCCACTCCCCACAGAAGGTTTTCCTAAAGGAGATGGAGCCAGGGCCCTAACCCAGTTAGGTAGGTGATTCGTTGATTTCAATTATGAATGCCAACACTTTCTTTCCCTGGTGCCGATAAATGTGCTTTCATAAGTATTTTACTTTATTAAAAAGTAAATAAAATTTAACAATCTATTAAGTAACTTACATGAAGATGCAAGTTACCTCAGTCTACAGCATTAGAATGGCCTCAAGTGGTACTATGATTATACAGGACCAAGCAAAAAAAGACACCACTTCAGCATCTTGCATGTGGTGCTCCCATAAATGTTTTGCTACTGATATCCTAGAAAGAAAGATGAACCAGACAATTCCAGAGAAGTAGCCTGGGTATTACACTATCCATATTTTGTTGAAGATGCAATTATGTTAAATTTTTAAAAATAGACTTTAAAATATGTTAATGAGACAACAGGATTTGTTTTTGTCTTGTCATGATCTCAAGAACCAGCAGGTACACTGCCAGTTTCCACTAATTTCTAGGTATAAGAGGTAGACAAGATAACGTAACCGATATGTAATATTAAACAAGTACCACACGAGGAGTGAAACAACTAGAAAGATAATAAATACAAACATGTTTAAATACAAAAGAACATAAAGCAAGTATCATGTGCACAGAAATAGAAACATTAAATTTATAGAAAATTAAAGACAAAGTATTAGTTGCTACTGTGTTTCATTCTACTGCCATCTCATATACAGATCCCTCAAATTTCTCAAATCTGTAGATACAGTATTTCATTATGCTGTAGGAATTTTAAAATGCTGAACTTCATAATTGCTGTTTATAGACATCCTTAAAGAAGCCTAATTTTAATGAACAAAAAAGGAAACAATAAAATCTCAGTCATATCTACTGTATATAAATGTTTGCAAAATGTTTATGAAACTTAACTTGACTGTTTTCTTAATTATTACAAACAAGCATTCCCACTTCACTTGTTTATTTTATTAATTTTTACAATCTTCTAAAACAAAAGAAAAAAGGAAGGAAGGCAAGCACACATAACCTGACTACTGGAATTAATGACAATATCCCATTGTATAGACTTTAAAAATAAACATACAATTCAAAAAGACTTGCTATCAAACAACTGGCTAAGCAAAGTACGAAACAAATACGACAAAAAGGTTGTAATATCTGTAATAATATAAAGAAAGCTCGTAACAAATATAAAAAACACAAAACCCTAATAAGTACTAAAGAATAACAATTCACTAAAAATACAAATTGCTCATAAACATGATAAAAAATTCACCCTATTAAAGGAATGCAAATTGAAATAACGAAATATTTTTAAATATCCAATTAGCAGAGAAAGAGTAACATTCAATGCTGCGTCCCCTTAGGATGTAAAACTCCTCCTGTTTTGGCCAAACATTTGTGTTTCAAAACAAGATAAACTGAAAAATAAATAAATAACGCTTACAAGGGTGTGATGAGTGAGATAAAAACACCCCAACACTGACTGAGGACAATGGCAGTCAGTACAACCTTCAGACAATTTGTGAAGAGTGTCAGGAGACAGATTTTTGTGGCTTTCAAGTTCATACCCTATGATTATTAATTCTACTACTATGAATATAAATTTTAAAAAATCAGATATGCAGAGAAAGGCTTACAATGGTATTTATCCCAGTTACTTATAATGTTCCCTAAAACTGGAAACTATAATGCCAAACATTAAGGAAATGGGTCATTGTAAGATTAAATATTATGCAGCCATTAAAAATGATCTTAAATTACTACTCATAAAGGAGAAATGTAGAGGATAGATGTTAAGGAAAAAAGCAGGATCTACAATTTTAATGCAGTCTTAGCTAAAACTATGTTTAAAATAAAGCAGATATTTTGTACTCTACTAATTTGCCAAATTCATTTATTAGTTCTAATAGGCTTTGTTGTGAAGTCTTTATGGTTTTCTAAGTATAAGATTATATCATCTGTGAACAGGCATAATTTTACTTCTTTCTTTCCAATTTAAATGCTTTTTGTCTTTTTCTGGTCTAATTTCTGGACTATAACTTTAAATATTATGTTGAATGGACATGGTAAGAGCAGGGATTCCTTGTCTTATTCTTGATCTTAGAGGAAAAGCTTTCAGTCTGTCACCATTGACAAGGATACTACCTAAGCAACAGGATATGAAATCAACACATAAAAATCGGTTTTTTTTGTTTGTTTGTTTTTGTTTTTTTTTTTGAGGCAAGGTCTTGGTTTGTCACTCAGGCTGGAATGCACTGGTGCAATCACAGCTCACTGCAACCTTGAATTCCTGGGCTCAAGGGATCCTCCCACCTCAGCTCCCCAAGTAGCTAGGACTACAGGCTCACGTCCGGCTAGTTTCTATATAACAATAATGAATACTTGGAAAATGAAATTAACATATAATTCCATTTGCAAGAGCATCAAAAAAGAATAAATTACCTAGGAGATGAAATAAACAAAACTATAAAACATAACTGAACAAAATTAAATAAAACATAAACAAGTAAAAAGACACCCCTGTTCAAAGACTAGAAGACTTAATATTTATATGTGCGTGTGTGTGTGTTTGTGTGTAGTTTTAGAGACAGGGTCTCACTCTGTCACCCAGGCTTGAGTGCAATGACACAATCATGGCTCACTGTAGCCATGAACTCCTGGGCTCATGTGATCCTTCAGTCTTAGCCTCTCAAGTAGCTGAGACTATAGGCGTGGGCCATCACACTCAGCTTATTTTACTTTATTTTATTTTTTTTTTGCAGAGAAGGGGTCTCGCTGCATTGTTCAGCCTGGTCTTGAGCTCCTGGCCTCAAGCAATCCTCTCGCCTTAGCCTCCCAAAGAGCTGGGACTACATGTGTAAGCCCACAGCACCCAGCCCTTAATATTAAGATGTCTAACACCCAAATCCATCTACAGATTCAATTCAATCCCTATCAAAATCCAAGTGACCATTTTCTGGAGAAAAAGAAAAATCTCTCCTGAAGTTCATAGGGAATCTCAAGGGACCCTGAATAATCAAAACTATCCTGAAAAAGAAGAAAGTTGATGGGAAAACATTTCCTGATTTCACAATGTACTACAAATCAACAGTAACCAAAACAGTAAGCTGGTATCAGCATAAGAACAACCTACAGACCAATGGAATGGAATAGAAAGCCCAGAAACAAACCCTTGCATATATGGTCAAAATATTTTCTATAAGGCAAGACCATTCAGTGGGGCAAAGGCAGTCTTTCCAACTAATGGTGCTGGAAAAAGTGGACACATCTACATGTAAAAAAAAGTTGGACCCTTACATGATATTCCAAACTCAAAATCAATTAATTCACCCAAATTTGTGATCTAAAACTATACAACTTTTAGAAGAAAACATAAGGGGAAAAGCTTCATGACATGGATTTGGCAATATTTTTTGAATATAACAACAAAGGCATAAGCAACAAATGGAAACAGACAAGTTGAGCTTCATCAAAACTTAAAAGTTTTGTGCAGCAAGGGCCACTGCTAACACACTAAAAAGGCAACCTGTAAAATGACAGAAAATGTTACCAAATCATGTATCTAAAAAGGGACTAATATCAAGAATACATAGAGAAATCCTAAAACTCAACAACAAAAAAAAGATCCAATTCAAAAACAGGCAAAGAACTTTATGAATAGATATTTCTCAAAAGACACACAAATGGCCAATTAGCACATGAAAAGATGCTCAACATCACATTAAGCATTAGAGAAATATAAAACAAAATCACAATGAGATGCCATTTCACACCTACTGAGAAAGTAAATACCAAAAAAAAATGAAAGTAAATGTTGGTGAGGATGTAAAGAAATGAACCCTTATACAATGCTGGTAGAAATGAAAAATGGTGCAGTCACTTGGAAAACTGTATGAAAGTGCCTCAAAAAATTAAAAGTGCAATTACCATCTGATACAGCAATTCTTCTTCAGGGTATATACCCAAATAGTTGAACACAGAGGCTTGGACAGATATTTATACAGCCATGTTCATACCAGTATTATTCCCTATAGCCAAAAGGTGGAAGCGACACAACTGTCCATTAACAGGCAAATGGATTAAAAGAACATGGTGTATAAACAGAATGGAATGTTATTTTGCAATAAAAAGGAAGAAAATTCTGACACACGGTATAATATGCATGAACCCTGAAGACATTGTCAGTGAAATGAGCCAGTTACAAAAGGATAAATACTGTATAATTACATTCATATGAGATACTCAGAGACCGAAAGTAGAATGGTGGTTGCTAGCAAGATCGGGGAATAAGGAACTGCTCTTTAATGAGTACAGTTTCAGTTTTGCAAGATGGAAAAAGTTCTGTGTTTGGATGACAACAGTGGTAACACACAACGCGAATGTACTTACTACCAATGAACTGTGTACTCAAAAACAGTTAAAATGGCAAGTTTTATGTTAAGTCTATTTTACCACAATTAAAATTTTTTATTAAAAAATTCAGCAGAAGGCTGGGCATGGTGGCTCATGCCTATAATCCCAGCACTTTCAGAGGCTGAGGCAGGTAGATCACAAGGTCAGGAGTTCCAGACCAGCCTGACCAATATGATGAAACCTCATCTCTACTAAAAATACAAAAGTTAGCCAGGCATGATGGCAGGCACCTGTAGTCCCAGCTACTTGAGAGGCTGAGGCAGGAGAATTGCTTGAACCCGGGAGCTGGAGGTTGCAGTGAGCCAAGATCGCGCCACTGTACTCCAGCCTGAGCGACAGAGCAAGGCTCCATCTCAAAAAAAAAAAAAAAAAAAAAAAAAAAAAAAAATTTAGCTAGGCATAGTGGCACACATCTGTAGTCCTAGCTACTGGTGAGAGGACTTTTTTTTGAGCCCAGGAGTTCAAGGCTGCAGTGAGCTGTGATCACAACACCGCACTCCAGCCTGTGTGAAAAAGTGAGACCCTGTCTAAATAAAATAAAATAAATAGTATGGGGAAAAAAAAGGAACCAGAGCAATATGTTTCATAAGAAAATATATCAAAAATTATATATATATAATATATACAA